GACCATACCCCCTATTAACCTATTTCTTTTGTGTCTTCTGCAACTGCTGTTTCAGACCTTCAGACTCCCATGAGTGTTACACACGAACATGTGTGTTTAGTATAACTGTTAAATGTTTATTTTGTTTGTTTTATATTAACATATATTCATATCAAATTTTATTAAAAATCTGTCCAGTAGTTCTGGAGATCGTAGATCAAATATGAAAATTCTCTTAATTTATTTCACCAGTGTATATGCAATATCACCCTATACATCTCTTTTCTTTTTTCTGCAAATTCCAGCATTAATTTCCTCCTGAAAAAAAAATCAGAATTTTCTTCCATAAAATGCAGCAGCATATTCTGCTATGCTTTTGTCATAAAAACCTTTTGGGCCACTGTGCTTTGTGCAATACAAATAATAAACTCTGCTGTGAATTGATGAAAAAAAAAGGAGTATTCCAAAAAGTCCTCTGCATGCTACAATGTCACTTGTCTCTGCTGTGATTCGTCTGAAACTTCTTGAAACCTTGTCACCTCTCAATAACATAAAATGGATCCGATGATGACCACAGTATGGCTTTCAGAATAAAGTTGGAATTGAGGGAAAATTCGGGTTCCTTGATTCAGAGTTACTTGCATGAAAGATGGTGAAATATAGTGATCATTGCATAAGAGCCCAATACAGAGTTGATTAGGTTAGTTTATCTGAATAGGCAAAACACGTGAGCTCTAGATCATTAGATTTGAATGCAAAAAAATACTCACTTCATTAACTTCCTGCATGAAGTATTGAGGTAATCAAAATACCTTTCACTTCAACAAATGAAGACTTTGTAAAAATGAAAGTTTGAAAATACATTTTCTTCAACACATGTAAAATGCTATTAGTTTTACAGACATGCCAACCAGCCAAACTCAAAAGTCAGGATAGATTTTTTAGGAGAAGGAATTGTATTTTATTTTGTTTTACAGACATGCCAACCAGCCAAACTCAAAAGTCAGGATAGATTTTTAGGAGAAGGAATTGTATTTAATTTTGTTTTACAGACATGCCAACCAGCCAAACTCAAAAGTCAGGATAGATTTTTAAGAGAAGGAATTGTATTTTAGGAAAATCAGGGGGAGTTTTTCACTGACCAAAAAAAAAAAAAAAAATTTAAACAGTAATAATATACAAAAAAGGACTTTTCTTTAAGTAATAGATACCATTCTAAGTAATATCTGGAAGTGTAATCACTAAGTTCTAAATGCTATTAACACAAAAACATGTATACATTAAAAATTATTCTATTATTTGAAAAGTTTTATAGACAATTAACAATTGTGTGAAAATGGAATAATCTATTCCATTTTTACACAATTGTTAACAGGATTATCAGATTTTGCTTTCCATAAGAAATATCATAATTTTGTTCATAGCTGCGCTGTTGCTTAGCCCTAATTTTTTCCTAATAAAAGTTTTCCAATGGTTTTCCAATGTATCATAATTAACATGGTATCTGAATTTAATCCTTGTTTAAAGAGTAATACATATCAAGTCTCTTTCTAAAGCAGGATCACATGCACAATTTCTGAATCCACAGAATTAAAAAAGTAACAAACACCGAATACAATTTTTATTATAAGCAGGGGAGAAAAAAAAAGCAGAAAGTAGCTGTTTGAATGCAAGTGAAGATTTATTTTTCACACCAATTATTTTATGCAAGTACAGCCATTTTCCTTGGACATGACTATATCTTAGTAATTTTACTATTGAGAAAAAACTGTATGATTAGAGGCAGATTGTGCTCAACCAAAAAGCCAGAAAATAAGTATTATGCATTAATAACCTAGTACTTTCAGATCATTTGTACCCCTATTGAAAAGATATTGGTGAGGAAATTCATCCTGTAGAGACAAAAATAATTTAAGTGGCAATTCACCATGTCATCAAAAAGACCCACGTATATGGGTAACACACATCTAATTACAAAGCATTTACACTTTTTGAAATACAAAGGCCTATTTTCCTGATTAGTATTCCTTTTTTTAATTGAGTATATTTGTTGTCGTAACAAGTTATAATGGGATTGTGAAATTTGTCACCTGATGAAAGTGTTGCATTTCTTTATAAATACATTGTTCTGCTCAATTATAAGCCAGAAAATAAGTATTATGCATTAATGAAAATAAGTATTATGCAACTATGAACCAGAAAATAAATATTATGCATTAAGTAAAAGCCAAAAAATTAGTACAGTCAAAAGTCTTTAATCCGGACTCGTCGGGACTTCAGTAATTCCGGATTATCGATTTTTCCGGATTATAGATCATCAGTTTAAATCTGGTAAGATGGCATGCAGAAATTATAAAATTAAAAATATGAAACCGTAATTTATAAATAAATCAGCATTATGATCTAAAGGGTATCAAAATTTACAAAAAAAAGAAGCTTAATATTTATTTGTTTACTTTATTAAACATTTCTTTCAACGTGCGCATGCGTAAAGCATACCTTACGCATAGCCGAAATTAGAAATTGCAAACCAGAAAACTATTTGATTTGTATTCGTGATATTTATAATGACGAGGAATTTGATTTAAATCATATCAAAGACGGAGTACATCAAGATTAAATACTACATTTAGTAAGGAATTATAAGCCGAATAAAATAAAAACAACTGCCCTGAAGATAACGATAGTGATGACAGATCAACTTCCAGTTCATTGCGCGTTGCGCCGCGACGTCCCCCCCCCCCCACTCAAAGCAGCGTGAAATTGATAAACAGATTTCGGAACGGTTAGATAAACAAAGGATATGCCCTTATCCATTTTTTGTAGCAATTTGTTTTTTGTTTGATGGATATCGAAGCATACTTTCGTTTTCTAGATACTTTGGGAGCTCCAGCATCGGAAATTCTATTTGACATAATCGAAAGTTCAAGCTTACTTTTATAAAATTGCTCTTACAGTCTGCAAAAAATAATAAGCCGGATCCAATTCGAAGATTAAGGAAGAACGCAATCATCAACATTAACTGAAATAGATAATTTTAGCTTATAACGTCCGTTATACATAAAATGCGCACGTGAAAACGTATTCTACACTTGCGCACACACATATGCGTAGTTGTAAAAGGTCTTATGCGCATGCCTAAACGTGTATGCGCATGTGTCAATGTGGCGCATGCGCAGAAAGATTTTAGCTTTGAGGTCCGGATTATGGGTGTCCGAATTAACAATTTTTGACTGTATTATGCATTAATAACCTAGTACTTTCAGATCATTTGTACCCCCAATTGAAAAGTTATGAAAAAATATTGGTGAAGCAATTCATCCTATAGAGACAAAAAGAAGTTAAGTGGCAATTTACCATGTCATCAAAAAGACCCACGTATATGGGCAGCACACATCTAACTATGCAGAACTATATAGACTATTAAGGCATAAATTTGTGCACACCTTAAACAAACACATTTTACGGAAATACAATATGAAAAATTGCAAAGTGTTAGAATGAAAATTAGAAATTGGTTTGAAGAGAGACATATCTCTTTTACATCAGCTGTTTGCTTTAATTATTGTTGGACAAAGGAATATATGTCAACGAAATTCTATGATTAAGAAATGGGTTTATCCCTAAACAGAAATAAGAAAAAAGAAGAAATGGGATTACCTCCAAGAAGTGTGTGTCTTCTATGGAAAAAGAAGAACATAAATAAATAGGAGTATAGAATACATTATTGAAATAGACATACAGATACCCAAATAAATATTTTTCGCCAAAGTCACCAACAAATTCATGAATGTTATCCAAAGTCAACAACAAATTCAAAACTTTTCAGCTGGGTTGTGAAGAGTCAGAAAATATGAGAAACTTTTTCCTTCTTTGCTTTCTCAGAGAATATTAAATTTTTTGTTCCTCTCAATGCAATTTTCTCATCTTTGTGCTTTTTTATATGCATGTTTTCCCTCACCATGCAATATAAAATAATAATTATTATAAACAATGATAAATAGTACATGTTACAAAGATATTAGATTTTTTTAATGCAGGGAATTAAAACATTTTCATAATTCAGATATATGTGTACAACCAATAATTTTGAAAATAAAGGCTGGATAAGGATTTTTATGGACATAATGTATGTTATAAAAAATGATTATTGCAAGTAAAGAAATGAGGCTAATATTACATTACACAGACAATGAAAATATTTAAATTAATAACACAATAATAGTGCATATGAATAAACCATAGATATAATAATATAAATAAGTTTAAAAAATGGTTTCTTCCATTTCTTTGACTTGGAGAAATCTATTTTTTTCAACTTGTTTTTTCCAAAGAAGAATAAAGTTGCAACCCTGCTTTTAAAGCTATTATAATTATCTTTTTATATCAATTTATGTTACAAAATGAAATATAGATGCAAATGCTGGGAGTGTTTGAATTGATTTTTTTTTTTTTTTTTTTTTTTTTTTCTAAATTTCATTTAAGCTCATTTAAAAGCAATAAAATGTGAATATATGACAACAAACACTAGATATTAGTATTATTTATTTAATGGTAAAATCCTTCCACATTTTTGACAGTAATTTGAAATTTTCAGAATGCAAGTTTTTAGTTTATTTTTGTTTGCTTGTTTAAGAGAGGTAATCAAAATAAAATGGTACAGAATGCATCTGCTTCTCGAGAAACAGAAACCTATGCCAATATAAATTTGAATTTTGTCTATAAATATCATATCAGCATTGTGGTTTTTATAAGTGGCTATGCCAAAATAAATTTCAATTATTGATACAGTGTTTCAAACTGATATGCTCCAGTTTAATATAAATGACTTCAACTGATATAAAAATATGTTTATTCAATTTATTTTTAATTTTACATTTTCTCATTTATTGGCTTGCAAAGTAAGAAAATTAAGTCTTTTAATATAAAAAGTTCTGATTTTTAGTAACAGCTTATCATTTTAGTTATGATATTTTGATAAAGAAACACAATATAGAAAAAAAATTTTTTTGAAGACTTACCCCATGGTACATGTACCAGTAGATATTCAGCTTGATATCCAAAATGTACAATATGCATAAGAGTTGTTGTCTTGCCTGTGCCATTTCTGCCATCTAACATCAAATTAAGAATACTAAACACAAAAAAGGATTTGATAGCTATCCAGTGTTTGCTTTTTTTAAGTATCTTACTAAAACACATCAATCTAACAGACTAATGCTTTTGATTTTGGTCTCCAGAAATATATCAACACATAAACATATACGCATATAATAAAAAGATCATATTCTAAGGTGTTTTATGGAAGGAAAAAAAAAAAACTACTGTTTTACAATGAGCATAGATTTCAAAAAACAAAATTAAGGCAATGCTATTTGCTAAGTATATAGCTCTTATATATTAAACAGATAAAAGTATTTTAAAGGAGGTATATAGATATAGGTATTTTTAAGGAATGAAATGCCTTCATTTTCTAAATGAAATTTTCTTACTTTAATGTTCTTAATGTAAACGAATCATTTTATGTCCAGTTTAATTGCAAATCAATATAAAATCCAAGCCTAAACCTAATATGGTAAATCCCTATTTCTGATGCTCAACTAAATTACTATATATTAATTTTTTAAAAATTGCACAATAAAAGGGAAATAGTACCTTTTTTGAAGAATACTACACCATAGAAATTATCTAACAAGGTGAAATAAATTAATATTTCAAAATTAGTACAAACCAATGAATCTTTTACTATAATACATCTGTAATAAAACATTGTAAAAATTAAAAAATGTAAAACATTTTAAAGATTTTTTAACATATATTTACAAGTGCGTATTCTATGCACTTCACTGTAACATACAGCATTAGAAATATCTTTTACTCATTTTAACAGAACTGCAATTTTTCATAAAAATTATCATGTGGATATATCAAACACTTATTTATATTTTAATTAAAGCATTTTATATATCAGTATAAGATGGACATTAACAAAAGTTCAGCAAAAACTCAAAATATACTACATACACAAAATTGCAAAGGTGGCACTTAGTGGCACTGTAAATAGAAGGGACTAAGCTTATGACGTCGCAATGTATTCTCCCATTTTACACCACACATAATTTAGTATTTTCTAATAAAAATAAGAATAATCAATAGTTCATTATTGTAAAGTAACATTAAATTGTTTATTAAATTAATATGATAAAATAATTCAGTACTACCACTTATTAAAATGGTAAACAAGTCTTGCATACTTCAGACAGCTTTGATACTTTAAAGGATTTTTAAGCTTTAGTATTAACACAAATAATAACATTTTTTTAAATTTAAATTTACATAATAGAACACTTTAATTCTACCATTTTCACAAATTATTTTACTGCTATACAATGTCATAAGCCTTAATATACTATTGAGTAGTCAATATTCATTACATTATAATCAATTTAAGAAATGAATGTATTATGAAAAAAAGAAAAATAATTTTTCAAGGCAAATGAACATAGGTAAAATGGCAAATGAACCATACACAACATCCATTTCACTATGTCTCCGATTCTCAAATTACATTATACTCTCTTTGCACATATTAATATTCCATACATTAGTACGAAAATAAAAATCACAAATTTGTAATATTACCTAATGGGTCAAGTAAAAAATATTATATTAAATGCAATTACAATAGCAAACACTATGTATTAAAATAATAATGCAAAAGTTATTTATCGAGAGCAAGTTTATAATTTTAGCTACTTAACTCTTGACTTAAAGATGGCTAATTTAATGACCTGAAGACTATCAAACTAATGATATTTATCATAAGACAGAAAACATTCTCAACATGCCAAAAGAAAAGAAAGAAAAATCGAATTCAAAATAGAAAAGCGATGAATTAAAATACAATATATAATTAATACAACAGTACAAATTAAAAAGATATAGCAAATATTACACATGACATACGATACATTACTGTTGTAATTGTATACAGCAATTAATGTTGTAAATTTAAACAGCATTACCCCATGCATACAGCATCTGTTTTCCCTTAAAAAAATTGCAGAATTGCACAAATTTAGCATTGTGCACAGCCTCGCCATTTCACACCGGCGATAGTCAGGATTCCTCTAGAGCTGTTGCAACTTTAAAATACACTCAAATATAACAAAACTAAAAGAGTTCCTGTGTTTTCAACCTTTTAAAAACAGGCTATTTTAAAAATAACAGATAACAATCAGTAACACAGAACAAATGACCGACAGAGAACTATCACACAACTCAAGCGATTTGAATTATTAAAAAAATAACACTTCCAGAAGAATGACCCAATGACGAAAAATAAAACTATCATAATAATGTGATTACCTAACAGTGAAAATGCCAAATTTGGTGTGCACCTGATATTTCACTTTAACCAATAATAATAAATGAAATTTACATTTAGTCCTCTCCTTTTGGCAGAATATATTGTCCACATCTCACTCAGAAATATCTGCATTAACTGGTAGGTTTTGAATTCCTTCTGCTGGCATCTCCTCCTGTGGTTGAATAGATATGAATCAGATTGTATTGCTGCCTACCGAGTACCAGGACGATTTCTTTTAATAGCTCCCCAAGTCCCTTCAATACTGGTATGTGTATGTCAATGTTGGAATGTGCACCTGGTCTGCAGATCTTTAAAACACAAGCTATGATTTACTTTTAGGTGTGCATATCCTTCAAACTCGAGGCTTTCCAACAGTCAGAAATAACAACTGATCTCGTACGACACTTTCTTTAATAATTTCGAACAATGACTCGACACCTTTGCTCTCAACGACTCTAAACATCACATATCAATTAGTTTCTCAAGCAAACCAAACAACAGTTTTGCTTAGACTCTTTTCCCACTAGGATATTTTTGCTTACGAAATTTACTTTCTTCAGTTTCCACAATCCTGTCCTCCCCACCCAACATTTTCCTTCAAGCATGACTTCATGCACATTTCCCAACAAAAATTAACTCAATCTTCTTGGTATTTTTAGCAATACCTAACTCATCACATAAAATCATTCCCACACTTACCCATCCACTTATAACTCACAAGGCATCACACATATTCAATTTGCTCTTCATCAACCATAAAATTTCAAACATTTATACAAAACTAAAATCAATATTTTCTCCATACACCATTCAATCACACTGACTTTACCCTTTTTGCTCCAACAGTAAAAGAAAAATCCAAATTTCAGATACTTTCCTGTACTGCAGGAAGTGCCAAAATCAGATACATGCATCAAAGATAAAAAATTTCTCGAGCCAAAAGATCCTTTTCTGTGTTTACACAATTACAGTTATAAATTTTAAATCATTCTATCAATATTTTGAATCATTTGGTAAAGCTTAATAATGCATTTATGAGCAATAACTCAATTTGTCAAATGCTAACAATAGCTCAACACACACAATGAAGTAGATTTATAATAAAGAAATTTCATGCAGTTACATTATAAACCTAACATTTCTACTTAGTTAAAATATAATTTTAATTCTTTTCAAATATGAAGCTACAACTTAACTGTAACTTGTATCTTGAAAGAGGCATAGTCAATATAACATCATAAAAAGACATGTCTAAGCCTAAGACAAGTAAACAACGTCTTGATTTGTGAAGTGTCCTCCTAGAATTGAGCCGAAAGTTAATAAAGCATTTTATGTATGAATCTTATATATTAAATAATATCAGAGCCAAAATGACACTGCTATAAAAGGATACATATAACAAAGCGTAAGGCTGGGTGAGAATAATTAGCATTTTTCAAAAAGGCAATAACCTCTAAGGCTGGTTCACGCACCATAATGCATGCTTCACCAAAAGTATTCATCTGAAGAGCAATAAAAATTATTAATTATAATTATTATAAATTCCATAATTTTGGAATTTATGAGCAAAGTACATTTTTAATACATATCGTTTAATGGAAAACCATACCCATCTTTGCAGAACTAACGTTTTAAAAAACATTATGATAACTGACCATTTATCTCTTAAATTTTAAGTTACAGGAAAATGCATATAATTATTTTTATCTCAATATGATACTGAGAAATGAGGAATACAGAAAGAAGTCTCCATATTAGGAAAATGATGGTTAATAACATAGATGTTCCTCAGAATGTTCATAAACTACATTTCTGATAACTTGGACTCCTGATGGATAGTGCTTGCATTATAACAGTCACAGTAAATTAACACTTATCCTATTCCGGCTCATATATGGCACTAATAATGTTACATAATCCTGTAATAATAACAATAACACCATATATAGTAATACGAATCGAAGATAAAATACTGTTTTTTAAATTCTATCAAACAGAATTCAAAAATAAACTCATAAAAAGTTAACATGATAAATATGGTTGATGTTTTTTAGTAAATGCAGTCTGAAAACTCCAAATTACTGTTTAGTACCTCAAAAAAGGTTACCATTATTTTAAAAATTATCTGCACAATGTATACAGCATTACTTGAGAAATGGATCGGAACTCAGATTCTTAAAGAAGTCTCCATATTAGGAAAATGATGGTTATAACATAGATTTCCCCTCGAAGTTCATAAACTACATTTCTGATAACTTTGACTCCTGAGGTATAGTGCTTGCAATATAACATTCACAGTAAATTAACACTTATCCTATTCCGTCTCATAGTGGCACTAATAAGGTAGCATAATCTTCCTAATAAAATAACACCATATATAGTAATACGAATCGAGATAAATACTGTTTTTTAAATTCTAAATCAAACAGAATTCAAAAATAACCTCATAAAGTAACATGATAATATGGTTTGATGTTTTTTAGTAATCAGTCTGAAAACTCCAATTACTGTTTAGTGTACCATCCAAAAAGGTTACCATTATTATTTTTTTTTTAATTTAAAAATAAAAATATCATAAAATTGTTAAAAAATTATGCACAATTATGTAAAACATACAGCATTAGAAATTTGTCTTGTAACATGGTAAACAAATTTTTCATTGGATAATTCTAGATTAAATCTAATCGTTTATACAATTGATGTACTACAAAAAATATTAAAAATAAATTCAATTAAAGAACGTATTTTACTATTCTTTATATTACTATTAGTTTGTTATAGGCAACAAATACAATTAAATTTCAAATAACCTAATATATTAAAAAAAAAAAAAAAAAAAAAAAAAAAGAGCTTTAGAGATATTTATTATTTTGTCCCTTATGTATTCTGGATGAAGCATTCAGGTAAGTTTGTTACCACTTTGAAGTTCAAGAAATTGAATCTAAATTAATATTTTTTTAATCCATCATAGATGTTGTCTTCCTTTGAATAACTTTGGACAAGCTTATGAAATATGACAGCTTTGGATTTCTCCACGAAAATTTGAAGTTTTTTCTTTACATTGGGGGCTGTATCCTTTGTTCTTCTCAAGACAATAAATGTAACATGATCTATGAATATTATAACTGTAGTGTGTTTTGCCCAGTTCTGAGAGGATAATGTTGAACAACATATATAAGAGATCTGCATTTAGGCGTGAACCCTGAAAACATCCACCTCAGATTTGCGATCTTTCAATAATAGTGCTCTCCGATTTAACTAGGCATTTTTGTTTTCCCAAAAAGAATTTTGACAATAATTGGAGTATGCTTTTTGAGCAGCTATTCTGCTTAATGACTGTAGTGCTCTATGCCACCAGAGACAGTCAGAAGCATTCTTGAGATTTAGATATTAGAAAACTATAACAATGCAGATCCTGTGAAATTTGAATGAACTTAAATGCCATTATGCTGCTGATGAAATCATACACAATGTTATGAATCAAGTGCTAGCACATCCTGTTGAAGATATAGCTGATTATTCGACAGATATATACATAACAGCAATTGATTCTACAAATTAAAATCATAATAATTCAGCAGTCTGGCATGAAGATTTTTTTTTGTCAATAAATTATACTAATAATTATCTCAACATGGATTTGAAAATATTCACAATTCTATTCCTATGTATGTATGCATTTATGTTAGAATGATGATACATTGTGACATGCTGAGATTATAGAGATCTTTATTCCCATTTGTCTGGCCTTAATAAAATTTTATAGCAACTTGAAATGAATAACAGTTCTTACTGAGAAAGTAAACAGCTGTAACGCTCAAAAAGTATTCAACAATAAACCAAAATCCTTTTTAATACACAAGGTATATCCTAGACCACTAATAACAAATATTAAACAGATAGAGTTAGCCTAAGTGTTCTGGGCAATATACATAATGCTGCATTCATAGCATGTAAGCAATAAATGTTTATTTACATTAAGAAAGCATAATATATTTTAAGCTTAAATCTCAAAAGAATACAAAAATTACCAGAGTATCCAATGATTTTGGTATCCCTCCACTGAAGAACAGATTTTTCTTTAAATTGGGAGGTAATGTATAGTACTTTCCAACATGATTCTTGGTATGAAGAACCTAATCATAAAAGTATGTATTGCTTAAGTAATATTTAGCCACATTACACAGAAAATTTATATTAATGCAATAATTTAAGTTTTCATAAAAACAATAGTTGCACACTTTTTTTCAAATAATGTTAATATAGAGAGGGCACAAAAATGTGGCTTGCTACATAAAAGAAGACATTCATACATTAGCATTTTAATTATTTGAAAAAGTTATTTACAAAAGGTGGAGCTCAAGATAAACTTAAATGTAGTTTTCATCATATAATTTTTATTTAGAACCTGTAATAAAATAATAAGAAGAAGACATTATCATAAACAAATCAATAATTCCCCCATGCTTAATCAAGGAAAATGTTTTGAAGAGTCTGAATAAAAGAAAGGAGAATATTGAGATGGATATATAGCTTGGAGGAAGAAACACAGTGATCACTACTATTTTTTAATAAATCATTCTTTTTGTCATAGCTTTAAATCAATGCCAATATATTAAATCTATAAAATTATTTAATTTAAGAAAGTGTCATAATAATGCCATATTTTTTAATATGTATGGAATGAACATTAAGTAAATTATTTAATTTTGAAATGATGATTTTATATATTTACCTAAAAAGGTGTATTCATTTAAATTTCTTTTACTTTTAAGTGATACATACTCAATAAAGTACAATACTTACATGCTGTAGATAAAGAAAATTTCAAATTATTTGGAACTTATTGGATGATAAACTTTAAATATTAAGCTACTTTCTCATTATTCACATCTCCAACTTTACCATTAGGTAGAAATGCTATGTTTTGGGGATATTTTAGAGTATACATGCAGATGCATATAATACATAAGCTTGTATATACATGGATTTGCACACTTTATATTTAAACATCATTTTGTTAAATACTATCATCCAGATGCAAAATATAAATATCAGCCATATAGAACATAGTTTTTTTGCCTCACACAATTTCTCATTTTGTATAAAATGTTTTATTTTATTATTACTTATGAATAAAAACTGTACCTAGTAAAATTTCGCGAACGAATTGACCTTTTACAGAACGAGGGTTGCGGATAATCAGATAGTACCAATTTAATCAGAAAGTATAAATTTGTTTAAAACAAATCACAAGTTCTGTTAATCATGGCACTCAATAATAACCCAACCCTATAAGCATTTATAAAGGTTACATTAAAAAAAAATTACATGTTTTCCACAATACAGTATAAAGTCTTTAATCTGGACGTCCATAATCCAGAATGATCTATAATCCGGACCTCACAGCTACAAACTTTCTGCGCATGCACCTAATACCTTTACGCATGCACGTTTAATGTATAACGGACGGTATAAGTTAGGCTAAAATTATCTAATTATCTATTTCAGTTAATGTTGCAGATTGTGTTGTTCCTTAATCTTCTAATTGGATCAGGCTTATTATTTTTTGCAGACTGTTAGAGCAATTTTATAAAAAGTAAGCTTGAACTTTCGCTTATGTCAAGAGTTTCCGATTCTGGAGCTGCCAAAGGACCTACAAAGCGAAAGCATGTTTCAATGTCCATCAAACAAAAAGTGGAATTGCTGCAAAAAATGGATAAACACAAATCCTTTGTTTCTCTAACCATTCCGAAATCTGTTTATCAATTTCACGCTGCTCTGCGGGAGGGGGGGGGGTCGCACAGTAAACTGGAAGTTGATCTGTCAGCACTATCCTCATCTTCAGGGCAAATGTTTTCATTTTATTCAGCTTATAATTCCTTACTAAATGTAGTGTCTCATCTCGATGTATTTCGATATGATTGAAATCAATTTCCTCGTCATTATAAATAATATGAATACACATCAAATAGTTTTCTGGTTGCAATTTTCAATTTTCGACTATGCGTAATGTATGCTTTACGCATGCGCGTATTGAAAGAAATGTTTAATAAAGTAAACAAATAAATATTAAGCTTTTTTTTTTTTTTTTTGTAAATTTTGATACCCTTTTGATCATAATTGCTCTTTATTTCATAAATTATGTTTCATATTTTTAATTGTATAATATCTGCATGCCATCTTACCAGATTTAAATTGATGATCTATAATCAGGAAAAACCCCTAACCCATAATCGCCAAAGTCCCGACGAGTCCGAATTAAAGACTTTTGACTGTAGAGAATTAACATCTATTTTTCTCTCCTGAAATTGAGCATAGGATAATTACCCCCTGAAATTCAGCTAAAAGTTTTCAGAACAATAATTAATTTCTTGGTCAACAAATTTTATGCTAGTACAGGTTTATAAATTAAATGAACTGAACAAGAATTTCATATTAATTTCACTTTATGGAGTTTTATCATTATTATACAATAAAATTCAGATGGTAAAAAAAAAGAAAATATTGAGGAGATGGAAAATAATTCTGCAGAAACAAAAGTAAGAACATACACATTTGAATAAATGAGGATTACTTTATTATTATTATTGTTGGCGATTCTTAGCCATTAATGTAACAACCACATAGTCATCTACAGTAGTGGTCTCGAACTGGCATCCTACAGGCCTCATGAAAATTTTATGCGGCCCATATATATATTTTGATTAAGTATTTGTTGCAAATATAGTTTTGCACAGATTTAAAGATTTTAATTATTTGAAAGTTCCAGTTTGCATTATTTTCATTACCATTAAAAGAGAACATGAATAACACGTAAAATCTAGAAATGCAGCTCATTTATTTACAGTATGACATAAATCTTATTTAAAGATTTGAAGACACAGGTTTTATTAACTTTTATTCATACTACTAAAAAAATAAATACACTCAGTTATGAATTTTTCACTGAATTTATGCACTGAAGTTTAGCACACTGGTAGAATTTAGTTTAGTGCAGTTTAGTGGCAGTTAGTGCACTTTATTTAGTTTAGTGCACTGATAGAATTTATGCACTGAAGTTTAGCACAAGTTTAATATTACAGTACAAAGTCCAAAATCCGGACTCGTTGGAACTTTGGCGATTCCGGATTTGGGAATTTTCGGATATTAGTTTAAATTCTGTAAGATGATGGCATGTAGAAATTATAAAATTAAAAATATGAAATTTGATTTATGAAATAATGAAGTATTTATGATCTGTTTATGAAATGTTTAAAATTTATTTGTTTACCTTATTAAACATTTCTTTCAATGTAAGTTGTTTAAGTTGCGTCATTTTTTGTGTGCTAATACCTTCTCTTTAATTCTGCAGACAGACATAATCTCTTGTTTAGTTACATTATTGAAGTCCTGTAACTGCTGCTTCAAGAATTCCGATTAACTTGACAATCAAAATTTTCTCGTTTTTAGTAACTTCTCTGTCACTTTCTTCACTATCAGTAGCAGTATTTTCTGGATCTAGAACCATACTACATATTTTGCCATTCATTAAGTGATTGATGACCGAGAAGCATTGTCATCACAAAGAAAAACTTCTTTTATATCATCTTCATCTATTACCATTTCTCCACATTTCATTACAAAATCCATTGATTGAAAAACTTCACCTTTGTTTTGTGAGATCCGAAAAACTTTAAATTAGTGGTTATTATCATCAAATTTAGCTACCCTTCACTATACATATTTTGCTGTGCATCCTGAGCTTGGCGACTAATGAAGTTGTTTTCATGAAATTTTATCTTGCTTCTATTTGTGCACTCAGACAATTAAGCCTGAATTGTATTAGTTTAGTTATTTATTTTAGTTAGTTCGATTTCCGCGTGACTCCGACATCCTTAATTTATGGACATGAGTGTACTTAAGCCTTATTGAGGACTGGCACTAAATATCTTACCGCCTGATGCAGTCTCTGTCGATCCTAAATTCTACAGTGCAGTGCGGCCATATGAGCCCTGCCGCTGGTTCTGGGTTTATGTGAGCAATAAGTCAACTATTCTTAATTCAAATAGCACTAAATGTAGTCTTTTGGCCTATGAGCTTATACAATTTAAAAATATATTTTTAGCACATAAAAATTTTTTTTTAAAGTTTTCCTCATCAAAATTTTTTAGCGCATTTAACTTAAATCTGTAATCATGGCCAAGAGTAATGTCAACATAAAAGGTTACCATACTCCTTTATTATTCAAATACAGTACAAAGTCTATAACCCAGACTCGGCAATTCCGGATTAGGGGTTTTTCTGGATTAAAGATCATCAGTTTAAATCTGGTAAGATGGCATTCAGAAATTATACAATTAAAAATATGAAATCGTAATTTATGAAATAAAGAACAATTATGATCTAAAAGGTATCAAATTTTACAAAAAAAAAAAAGCTTAATATTTATTTGTTTACTTTATTAAACATTTCTTTCAATGTAAGTTGTTTAAGATGCTTCCACAAAAAATTCAAAAAGTTCCCTTCTCTTGTGTCATATAAAGTGCACTTTCCAATGCCATACTTCTCGCATAATTTTGAGGCAGATAGGTCTTTATCCATTTTTTGCAGCAATTCCACTTTTTGCTTAATGGACATCGAAACATGCTTTCGCTTTGTAGATCCTTTGGCACTCCAGAATTGAAATCTTTTTGACATAATCGAAAGTTCAAGCTATTTTTATAAAATCTTCTAAAGTTTGCAAAAAATAATAGCTGGATCCAATTAGAGATTAAGACAGTGCAATCTGCAACATTAATTGAAATGCCTTAGATAATTTTGGCCTAGCTTATACTGTCCGTTATAGATTAAACATGCATGCGTAAATGCATTATGCACATGCATAAATGCATATGCGCATGCGCATAAAGTTTGTGGCTTTAAGGTCCGGATTATGGACATCTGGATTACAGACTTTGTACTGTACTAACATTAAAAAATTGTTTAGGCATCACTACATGAGTCATTACTCAAATTGTCGTGTTTGGATAAACATGTGGTGTTGAAAGGAAAGTATAATAAATAATGATTCGCCAGGTTGGCGTCACATCAAGGATGTACCTATGTGTAATGTTTCAGTTTAAGATGTGTGTGAAGCAGATACGCAGCAACGGAGCCAAATTACTGATC